GCAAAAGACAGTTTTGTTTTTGTTTTTGTTTTTTCGAGACAGGGTTTCTCTGTGTATCTTTGCGCCTTTCCTGGAACTCGCTTTGGAGAAGAGGCTGGCCTCGAACTCACAGAGATCCGCCTGCCTCTGCCTCCCGAGTGCTGGGATTAAAGGCGTGCGCCACCACCGCCCGGTGCAAAAGACAGTTTTAAAAGTAGGTCAATGCCAGGCATGGTGGCACATGCTAGTCCCAATACCTGGGAGGCTTAGGGGTGGTGGTGGTGGTGGTGTTTGCAGGCAGATATAAACTACATGGTGAAACCCCATCTCAAAAATAAATAAATATGGCCTGGAGAGATGGCTCAGCAGTTAAGAGCACTTGATTGCTCTTCTACAGAATCCAGGTTTGATTTCCAGCACCTACATGATGGCTCACTCACAACTGTCTGTAACTCCAGTTCCAGGGGATCCAATGCCCTCTCCAGAATCACCAGGGAACACATGTGGTGCAAAGACACACGCAAGTAAAACATTCATACACATAAAATAAACAAACAAACAAACAAATAGATAAAATAGCATTTATAAGCTGGATCTGGTGGTATAGGCCTGGAAACCTAGATACTCAAAGAGACTGAGGCAGGACAGTTGCAAGGTCATGCCTGCAAATCTGGTCTGAGATACAGACTGAGTACAAGTCCAAGCTGGGCAATTTAGAGTCTATCTCAGAATAAAATGTAAAGGGCTAAGTATATAAAATAGCTCAATGGTACAGCACTTGCTGAATTGTGCAACCTAGGTTCAATTCCCTGTACCCCACTCCACAAAAAGACATTTCAAAACCCTTTCAATGTTTCATAAATTTATTATTTTTTTCAAGTCAGGGTCTCATATAGCACAAGTTGGTTTTGAACTCCTGATCCTCCTGCCTCCACCTCCTAAGTGTTAGGATTACAGGTACACACTACCATGTCCAGCAAATTTATTAAGAACAGATTTTCTTTTTTTTTCTTTTTTGGTTTTTCGAGACAGGGTTTCTCTGTGTAGTTTTGGTGCCTGTCCTAGATCTTGCTCTGTAGATCATGCTAGCCTCGAACTCACAGAGATCCTCCTGGCTCTGCCTCCCGAGTGCTAGAATTAAAGGCGTGTGCCATCACCGCCCGGCCAAGAACAGGCTTTCTTAATCTTAAATTCGGTTTGCCTTCCTGGGGGCTCTTTTACAATATGGTGGATAGGTCACTTGCTTCAGAATCACCCGGGGCAGTAATCTACCAGGATGCCAAAGGATCTTGTACTTACACCCAAAATCTTTAAATTTTACCAAGTGTTTTAAATGTTTGTTTGGTATCAGAGTTGAAAAGCAAAACAAAACTATATAAGCCCAGTAAGATGTCATATCCCCAGATATTCAGGAAGATGAACTGGGAGGATCACTTGTACCCAGGATTCTGAGAGCAGCTTAGACAACAGAGAAAGACCCATCTCAAATAAAAAACAAAGCACTCTGTATGAATTGGATAAGCTGTCACCCCAGCTCTCTTAGGAAGCTAAAGTAACAGGATCACAAGTTGGCCAGTACGGACTATAAAGGGAAACTCTGTCTCAAGACAAAGCAAATTCCACTCTCATAGGCCTGGAAGATGGCTCTATCAGTAAACTACTGTGGTTTAAGTTTGAGGGCCTGAGCTCAATTCCCTGTCACCCATATAAAAACACCAGGTGTGGCACATGCCTGTAATCCCAGTGCTGAGAAGATAGAGAAAGGAGGCTCCCTCAGGCTTGCTGGCCAGCCAACATAGCTAAATCTGTGAGCTCTAGGTTCAATGAAAGACTTGGCCTCAAAAAATAAAGAGGGAAAGCAATTGAGGTAGATACCTGGCATCACTCTCTGGCCTCCACACCCATACTAAAAAGAAACCTACCTTCACATTCAGCCATGGTACTCATCAGGCTGTTTGGCAATCACCTGTAAACTATGTGGTCTTCCTTGTAAGACCATACATAACAAAACATGGGGAGACCTACAATCATTATGTCTCATTCATCTTTGCATTCTCAGAGCATAGATACACATAATGCTGAAAAGAAACCACTCCTTTGCTGTGTTGTTTCTTCTGCCTAGAAGTAAGTGCCTCTCAGCATCTTCCTGGATCAGTGCTTACATGGGGGTATGCCTATAGTGCTTGAGAGCCAAGGGAATGGATAACTCACCGTCTTTCATACTCCATGTCCTGATAGGATCTTCGGGAGCTGCTGGGGCCCCGCCTCAGTTGCTGGCTCCGTTTCACTTCCCAGCCACCCCCGCTGCTGCCACCATGATCTGCCAGCCTGGGTGATGCCTCCTGCAGAGACTCTGCAGAGAATGGAAGGAAGAAAGGGGTCAAGGCAGTTGGTGAAGAGAGGGCCTCCTTCAGAGACTGTCATTGTCGAGGCTCTCTACTGTCCTATAGCCTAAGGACATTGTTTTCTACTTCCGTGTGCTCCTGTGAATCAGTGCAGGAAGACAGCCCCCATTTGGCTCTCTCCTTCCTTTCCCCACAAGCATGAGGCAAGATTCCACTGCCCTAGAAAACAGTAATGCCCTTATCAAACAAAGAGCATCTTACAGAGATTTGGTGGGACCACTGGCTATGTGATCAAGGCTTTGCATTCTTAGATCAAGTGCTGAATGATTTGCCTGGACTAAGCATATTAGTCACAGAAATAAAACCACAATAGTTGGATGGGGATATAGTTATGGGGCATAACACTTGACCAGCACGTTCAGGGCTCTTGGGTCCCCAGCATCACAAAAACAACTAGCAAAACACCAAAAGACAAAAGAGTAACAAAAGACTTCACAACAATGGGAATCCCAAGCTCCTTCCCATGGGTTAAGGTATCATTTCATCCTCTCAACAAGATGCTAGCTATACCCTGAGAAGGCAGTCAGAAGCCTTGAAAGGCTTTTGGAGGGAGGGAGGGAGGGGGTGTATGTGTGTAGGGGCTAACTTGGCGACAAGACAGCTGCCACCTCCCTGGGCTCCTGGCCAACACAGCTCTGGTCTTCACACAGCAAGTGGCTCAGCCGTGATGTGCAGCCAGGTCCCCAGGTGGATCTCTCCCCAAGGATCATAGGCTAAGCTTTCCAGAGGCAAAAGGGGCCTCTTTCTGAAGTGGTTTCAAGACATCTTGTTCTACTGAGTTGAAGGGATCAGTCACTTCATCCAACTTCTGGAGCTGTCATGAGAACTACAAGTTCTGAGAGTGATGCGACCCAACCAAGGATCAGAAACAATCCCTGAATCTTCAGCTACCACCCACTATACAGGAATCAAGTAAATAAAGCAAGGTAGTTACAGTACCTGCCCAATACTAGATTGTCACCACATCTTTCCACCAAGTACACATGTGCCTATTTTCTCTTCCACCTCAAACCACGGGGTACCAGTTAACTGCTCCCAGATGGGGAAAAGAATCAACCAGGAATCCTAGTGGCTGAGAACCTGATGCAAACCCCTCAATGGCAAAAGGGTGAGTCAAACATTGTCATACACACACAGCACAGATAAGAATCAAAGTTTCAGGCGAGCCCCCAAATAACCAAGAGCCAAGATCACAGAAGGAAACCCACAAGAGACATAATCAAACGATTCCCATTTTAATACTTGAACGTCAGTGTCAGATACAACTCCCAAAAGAAGAAAAGTCACATATATAGTCTGTCCACTACACCCTCCCCAGCATTCACTAAATAGGTTGGGGTCGGCCAGTAACAGCTTCCTGACAGATAAGGACCGAGGTCACATATATACCCCAAGGATTAAAACCACAGTCACTTTCTTCGCGCTCACCACCCCCATCCCCGCCACATAAATGAATAGAGGCCGCAGCCAGAGTATTTCCGTGTGGGTAATTAACACAGGGCAGCCAGCACACCCCGATCTAAGAATACCCCCTCAAAGTCGCAGGCACGCACGTTCCACAAGATAAAAGTTCGTTGGAGCAAACACAGTTAAGTCACAGTACCCCACTCCCATCTGTCTGCCCCTTCCCCCACCCTCGTGCACCCATCCCGTGTCCCAAACGCGCACGCGCTTTTGCTTTCATAAGAAAAAGCCGGGGCGGGGTGGGGGGGGACACCCCCTCTCAGGTGCATCCCTTGGCTCTGTGTAAACCCCGAGTGGGCAGCCCGTCCCCGCGCCTCTTCTATGCGAACCGCACCCCCACTACCGCGCGCACGTCCCGCTCCCTTACCTCGGCCCCTACCACCCTCAACGGTGCTCACCTTCTCGGCCCGGGCTGTCAAGGGAGGGCTCCCAGGCATCACCTCCACCAGCCGCCACCTCCTCCAGAACTGCTAGTTCAACGGGAGCCGACGCCTGCAACAACCAAGTCCAAGGCTAGGAGCAAAAGAGAGGAAAGGGGGAGGGGAGACGCGCCCGACGCCTGCCCTCCCAAGGAAACTCAGTGCCGCCTCCTCCTAGCCGGCCACAGTCACCAACACAAAATGGCGACGAGGAGAAGAGAGCCGGCGCTCCGACCACCATCCACCTACTAAGGGAGCGCGCTCTGGCCGGCCTTGACGATTGGTTGCTGTCCGCCACCGGCTGGCCCTGGCTTTCTCTGATTGGCAAGCATATGCTACCACCCCATTCCCCGTGAGAACGCCCCGGGAGTCCAGAAAAAGAGTAGCTATTGGCTACCCCGAAGAGGCCCGCTTTTTAGAGCTTGCTTTCCTTTGAAGTTGAAAGACAGGCAGAAGCTCCGCCTCTTTCCTCACAAGGCCGTCTAGATGTCACCGCTTTCTTCTTACGAAGAAAATAAACAGACGTCTCAAGACCAAATTCCTCCTATCCTGACAGAAAGGATAAAGTTAATTTGGTGGTGATACGAGGTGGGAAGTAAAACAGAGTCCACACCTCGCTATGCTCGAAAACAAACTTAGACCAAGGATCTATTTAGCGAGGTGAGGGCGGAGCGACAAAAATCGCGCTGGGCTCAACCGCAGCTGCGCACATCGCATTTCCGTGTCCCATCCCCCGCCCCCTCCCCCCCGCCCGCCCCAGCAGCACAAGCTGTCATGGCGGCCCGGCTGTTAAGTTTGTATGCTCGCCGCCTTTCCGCAGCAGCGGTGATACGAGGGCTTCCGGCTGCCCGCGTTCGCTGGGAATCCTCCAGGGCTGTAATCTCCCCATCTGCTGTGGAGAGAAAGCGGCAACGAGAACCGACCATGCGCTGGCAGGAGGACCCAGAACCCGAGGACGAAAACCTCTACGCGAAGGTGAGAGGGAGGGGGAAACGGGATGCCGCAGGGGCCAATCTGGGACCTGCAGACCGGTGTCAGAAGAGAATGTTCTCCAGCTTGAGGCTTGCGCCGTGGACAGGATCTTCAAAGATTAGGAATTTTGGCTTGTTTTCCTCTTTTTTTTTTTTTGATATCTTCACTCTAGTACTCAAAGCGGGGATTTGCTTTATTTGTAGACAGAAATCACACTTAAAGTGGGCAGCGCCCAAAGCGCGTTAAAAACATAATCACTGTAATACTAAATTCTGAGATGGCTCGTGCTCGGTGCCAGTCTTTGCTAGTCACTTTGTATCTATTAACTTATCTAAGTTCTGAAACAGTGTGATTTTGAAGTAGATACTACTACTGTTACCACTTTGCAGATGAGGATACTAAAACAGATAAATTGCTTACTCAAAATCACATTAACTTAAGTAGGTAGTGGAACTCATATTTGAATTTAGGACTAACTGGATTCCTGTGCTTTTTGAATGATTGAGACTCTGGAGTCAGACACCCTGGGTTGGAAATTATTCACTTGATGACCTTGGGCAAGTAGTTTATAGTCTCTTGGTTCCTTAGTTGCTTTGTAAAGTAGGAAAAGTAATAGGACAGCTAAAAAGTAGACCTGCTTCATATGATTAAATGAGTAAGAATGGTCACAACAGCTCCTGCCACTTCAGAAGTACTCAGAATTAGAAGATGTTTATTATTGCCATTCCCACCTTACTGGGATATGTGAGGTTTGTATATTTGAAAAGGCCTAGCATATAAGTACTTCATCAACACTAACCTCTGGTTGAGGGTCTTAAATATATAGGGTGTTATAGGATAAGTGGACCCATAGGAAATTACCAATATTCAGCCATTTTTAAACTTTTATTTATTTATTTTCATAGCTGAGGACCAAACCCAGGGCCTTGCACTTGCTAGGCAAGTGCTCTACCACTGAGCTAAATCCCCAACCCCATTTTTAAACTTTTATAAATAGCACTTCCCAAGGGTACAACTTAACAGACAGGGTAATTAGGTAATGTTTCCCAAACAAGTAGGTGAGGCCAATTACTCATTTGGAAATAAAGTAAAAAACCTCGGATGAGGTGATGGTGATGGATCCCGCTCTGATTAGATTTGGAGGAAGGGCTTTCTAGGTAGTGGGAGCAGCAAATACCAAAGCCCTTTGGTGGGAAGGAACTTCACATACTCTAAAGAATAGGAAAAGGATTTTAGTGAGGAGTAAGAAATTGGTCTGAGGCAGATTAGAGACCAGATCATACAGAGCCAACATATATGTTTATGACACAGCAGGAAGCCCTTATTGACCTCTCCTTTTTCTCAGAACCCAGACTTCCATGGTTTTGACCAGGACCCTGTGGTGGATGTCTGGAATATGCGAGCTGTCTTCTTCTTTGGTTTTTCCATCGCCTTGGTCTTTGGTACCACATTTGTGGCATATCTGCCTGACTACAGGTATAGGGGTATTCCAAGAGAGTAGAGTGGGTAGAGGCAGAGACAAGGGTAAAGGTTGAAGGAGTCTCTGGCCAGAATCCTTGTCCTGCACTGGTGGGGAACTGGGTGCTGAGGTGGGGAACTAGTGTCTAGTGAGGCTCTCTCATATCAGACCATACCTGTTGCTGCTTCTAGGATGCAAGAGTGGGCCCGCCGGGAAGCTGAGAGACTTGTGAAATATCGAGAAGCCAACGGCCTCCCCATCATGGAATCCAACTGTTTTGATCCCAGCAAGATCCAGTTACCAGAAGATGACTGATGAATTGCTGAGTGGGGCTTAAGAAGCATTATTTTGTCCGTCCACCCCCCCACCCCACCTATTATTATTCTGGTTTCTCAGAGCACCTTATTAAAGGGATTGAAAGAATGACTGGTTACTGTTGTTTTTGTTATTGAAGAGGATATATGTGAGAGTGTGTGACAAGCCTTACAAAGGCAATTGCTGCCTTTCTTGGTTGTCTAGAGCTGTGCAAGGTTTGGTGACTCTATTTCATGGCCCTGTGGGTTGCACAGTAAGGGTGTTTGGCTCCTCTTGGATCCCAGGTGGTTGCTGTTAGGTAGTAGCTAGGGTCATCTGAAGCACATCTGGTCTATACAGCCAAGGTTTCTAAAAAAACAACACATCTGGCACTTCAGTCTTCAGCATAGTAACCTGGGCTTCTTATAGCAGTGGTTCTCAACCTTCCTAATTCTGTGACCCTTTAATACAGTTCTTCATTGTGGTGACCCCCAGCCATAAAATTATTTTCATTGCTACTTCATAATTGTAATCTTGCTTCTGTTATGAATCATAATGTAAATATTTTTGGAGATAGAAATTTGTCAAAGGGGTTGCAACCCACAGTTGAGAACTAATATCTTAGAGGGTAGTTCAAGGCTCTTCTGGATGGAGACAGCATATAGGGAGAAATAGACAGTAGCCATTTATACAAAGGAGCTTAAACTTCCTACCTTTGAACTTGTGTTGAGATAACTGGTGGGTGAGAACAGAGTATAGTGGTATTTTATTTGTACTGAAATGTGATTTTAATTGTATGTTAATAAATAAAGTTGCCCAGGGGTCAGAGCTATTAGAGCCATAG